TATATATATATAGGCTCAGGACAAATTGTCCCTCGACGAATCGTCGCTACGACGAATTGTGCTAGACAAATTGACTCAGAGCCACTATTTGGAACACTTTAATAATAGCACGTAAATTTTAACATCATTAATAAAACAACAACTGATAATTTTAATATGATAAGTTTTGGAATATTTAATTAATACCACGTGACTTTCAAAACCCTTCATAAAATTATAGTTAATAATTTTAAGAAGATAGTTTTTGAAGCACCTTATTAATAGCACGTAACATTTAATAACATTGATCAAATAACTTTAGCATAACTCTCAAGATAAAATAATATAATAATTTTGAACAGATAATTTTTGGGACTCACTATTTATACAATGTAATTCTCAAAACTTTTCATAAATAAAATTTAATAATTACATTTTATGACTATTGTAGCAATACGCGTTTAGCTACGCGTTGAAAGACGTTACCAGATGTTTCAAAAAAAAGCCCGAAGAGTAATTTAACAGCTTTAACAACTTTCTCTTCTAATCTGCTAAACGAATTTTCTGCAATTCTAAAAAGTTTGCTGAGAGTTAAACCACAAATTTATTCAAACAGCATCTTTAGTTTATTTTTAGTCTATCCATATTACCATGCTTCTTAAATTTTAATAATTCAATATTATGGTTCAAAATGAACGGTAAAATAAGACTTTAATTAACACCTCATTTAAGTTGCATTAAATTTGTAGTGTAATAATGTTCAAGGTACTAATATTGCGATTTAAAGTTGAGTTGATATTTCTGACAGTGAAGAAGAAAATCCACTATTAATAAGTTTTGGCTTAAGAGCAAAACTGAAATTGTAACTTCAAGACACTAAAATATTTTTGCCTTAAATATCTAATTGTTTTTGTTCTAGACAATTCCAAACAACCTAGTGCGCAATTATCTTTTACTCAGAAAAACAATTACAGCATACATAGTTTTCTTATAGCTGCAGGCTGAAAAAACGAGTTTTTTAGGATCTGATGTATTGCATCAAGATCTCATTAAGCTAACGACGAAGAATAAAGTTTTCGAATGCAATTGATGAAAGTGTTGAATATAGTTTTTGTCACACATGTCCCCGAGACAGCGTGCTCCATTTTCCCTTTTTTTTAATAAAGTCTTTGCTTCTTTTTAATAATTTATAATTAAAGTTAATACCCATTTTAATTCGTTATGTCTTCGATGAAAGCAAAATAAATAAAACAAAAAAAAAGTTTTTTACATGCATATTATATTATACCATTTTAAAAATGCAGGAATTGGCTAAATAAAAATTATTTTATTTCTATAAAAAGATTTTTTTTTATTTTATAAACATAATTTTAAAAATTCACATACGTACCTTATATTTGAAATGGGCTCATTTACGATTCACCAGGAATGTACATTGATAATGTTAGAGACTTTTAAACGTGTTTTAGTTTGCTACAACCTTTATAAATTAACCTTTAAAAATAAATTATAAATAAACCTTTATAAACTTAACCCTATTATCACGTTATTTAGATTTGGTTATACGATTTTATTGTTCATTTAAACGAAAGTAAAAATGAATGAAACATTTTATTAAGAATACTGTAAATTTATTAAGAATACTGCATATTTATTAAGAATACTTCAAATTTATTAGGAATACTGCAAATTTATTAAGAATATTATTCTGGCTGAATGTACCTATATTATGGTTAAATGCTGAACTGATATTTTGAACAATGTATTGAGCCATTTTTGTTTAATGTTTTACACGAAAAATCAATATAGCCATTATATGGAAAAACCTTTCGTCAAATCAGTGCGAAAATTACTTTTAGATTTAATTTCTGGATTTGCATTAGTGCTCAATATTATCAAAACACCCCGATCTTTTTACATTAAAAATATGCGAAATGAATTATTCTAATGCAACACTTACTCCACTGTTACTTGTAAAACTGCTTTAGTTCATTCTTATAACAAATATTGGATGTAAAAAAAGAGTAAATAATCCTTTTACACGGAGGAAAAAATTCCAGTAAAAATACCGTACTGTATATAAATGACATTTCTCGTAGCAAACCCATAATTCTGGTTAATAAAACAATAATATACCATATTTAAACTATTCATTTGGTAATTTTTCCGTTCATATGGTAACGCTATACCAAAAATTCACGTTTTCCTAATTATACTTCTTATTTTCGCACAAATTTAGAAAAAACTACAGAACTGAAGAGCGATTTAAATGAATAAATGGTTTTTATGTTATGCTTTAAAGTAACATGATAAAATTACCAAACGTTGCCTTATTTACCAAATTTAAAACACATATTTTTGACAGATATTATACATTATATAAAACCATATTTTATTGTTAAATTTACGGAAATCAATACCATAGGGCTTTGCTAAAAATTACAAAGCTTTATGGTGTTCTTATAGAGGTAAATATAGTTCTGACTATACTTTTTTCTTTGTGTGTAATGCTTGAAAAAACATTTTTGCTTGAATAAAAAACTACATTTATGTGGGAGTTTATTCAGTAGCATATTTTTTTTCGAAACAAAACAATGCGTTAATTGAAATTAATAAGCTATAGCGTATGCAAATAAATTGTTTAAATTTAAAAATAAAATTCTTCGTCAAATAATATTTATTTAGAGGCTATTTAATAATAAATAAAGAATTTTCAATTTTCCTGTTTTAATTTAAACTTACAATACATTTCATTTAAAACAGTCATATCGTGTAAAAAATTCTGTACCCAAAAAGTATGCCTGAGCATTTAACTGGATGCATTTTTTTCTTCAATTGTTTTGAGAATAAATTTATTACCATAAATTCTATATAAATTCTCCGTCCCTATAAATAGTTTACTTTTGTGCAGGTAGCAATACAACTCAAAATAGCGATCTAACAATCTCAGATAAGCATGAGTCTTATGAATTCCTTTTATTTATTTTGATGTAGTTCATTTCAAGAAATATATATATATTTTTTTTAATGAACACAAGCATTTTTTAAAAATTAATTTATTATTTCTTTACCCTTATTTTAAAAATGCTAAGAACTTATTATTATGTTTCAAAACATTATTTCGTGCAATTTAAATTAAAGTTTATTTAATTTTTAATAACTTATTTTACGATCCTGTAAAAACTCAACAATTTAATTTCGGAGCCATAACTACGCGTAAAATATTTTAAGTTTATGTGGTGCAAATATTTCTTTGTTTACTTAATTCATTCAGGTGATTGACCTACAACAATTGAATGAATTTCCTACCATTGTTAAGTGAAAGCGCAAGTGAATTCTAATTTTCTTATCCAATTCACGTAAAATTATACTTTTCTCTAAATTATAAACAATGAAATCTGGAGTAACTCTCAATATGATCCAGTTCAACTTTGCATCTCATCTCTAATTCATCGTGAGTGATTGAAACTATATTAAAGTAATAAAAACTTCTTATTTGAGCATTTTTGGTTGATTTTTCTTTTAATAATCTCTTTACCGACATGAAATATCGTTTCTTTGTTTACTGGCCCAAAAACACATTTCTTTCCACATAACATAGAGTGGTTTCGTAAACTTAATTTCAAGTTCATCTAAATGCGGCAAAAGCTTTTTTTTTCTGCTATTTTAACATGGAGCTTTAAGAATGAAAAACCAATAAACCATGTCTTGCTTCAACTGTATTAAGGAAGCCAATTAGATTTCTGGCTTATTGAAGCCAAACCCGGAAAGCAAACTAAATAAAATTAAAATGAGAAGCTTGTGAAAGTGGAGTGTTTTTCTTTTCAGCGAAGAAGAATTTCAACTTTAAGACGAAGAAGGGAATAGTTTTTAAAGAGAAAATTTTAAAACATGAGCGATGTTTTTAAGTAGATTAAAATGGTAGACAAAGGTTTCATACTTCACATAATGGATTTCAGTTTAAAAACTCAGGCAAGTACTTTTCTCTATTTAATAACTTTTAAAGTTTTAAATTTCAAGTTAAAAAGTACTCGGGTTGAGTTTGGAATATCATTTCAAGATTTATAAGTTTTTAGCTTGTATTATGGAATTATATTCCTTTGATAATAAATATTATATTTCGATAATAATTAAAGTAACAGTATTTATTTCATTTTAGCAGCTTTAGTTACCATTAATAAAAATTTCATTCATTAAACACTAAAATATGTTTGCAATTTGTGACTTAACACAAGCAGACTTGATTTTATCATTATATTGGTAGTATTTTCTTAAAATATTTTTTTAAATAATCTCAGCCGCTCTATTATTCATCCTACGAATGCATAGTTATTGGGGCATTATGCATAGAAATGATAAAAAATTTAAATATATTTTATTTTACAAATTGCATCTTCTTACTTTATAATATTCATAATTACACTTCAAAATATTTCCAGCTGCTTCGTATTTTTAACAAATTGATAGCACGTTTCGAATATGATTTTTGCTGCAATGAATCACATAACTATATTCCAAATAAATTGTTTCAATAGTTAATATACTAAAAGTATATTTTACCGAAAATAATTTTTTTTTCATTTAGCATAAAATCAAAAATAAAATTCCTCTAATATAATTATAATTTTGTTTCAGGTAATTTTTTTTTACTTTATAATAATCATAATTATTTTTCAAAATATTCACTATTACTCCTCACCAAATGATTTTATTTCAATGAAGTAAATTAATTATTTATAGAGTTGGAAAATATATCCAATGAATTTGTAAAATAATTACCCTAGTATTTTTTCTCAAATAGTAGCAGAAAATAATTTTAAAAAGACTATTTAGCTTTTTGATCATTTATACTACTGCAATGAAATATTTAAAATACTACAAACTCAGTAAATAATATGTAATTTCTTATACCATTATTTGCAGTTATTTTTCTTGCAAAAAGGTTTTATACCCGTTTATAACGTGAGTTTTAAAGGATTTAATTACTTTTTAGAACTAACTATAGCAAAAATGTTAAATAGATAATTTAATTACTTTCAAAACTGTCTGAAAAAAAATTTATCATGAGAAAATTTGCCTTTAAAAAATTTTTACACATATTTATGTTTTATTTTGTAGCTGTAATTTTTTGCATAGTAATTTAATTACTTTAAATGACATCAATATACATGTTTAAATCAGTACGCTATGATATTTATTTCACATTAAAAGAAAAAAAACTTAATGAAACTTAAATTTAAATCTAAATTAAAAAAATCTACTATTTTGATACAATTAAAATAATAAGGATTGTATTAATTACAATGATTAATAATTGTGCCAGGGGAAATATGTTTTTACCAAAAAAGTAGTAAACACTGCTAAGAACGAATTTACTGAAATAGGCCTTTTGGAAATGTTGAAAGCTTATGACTGATTTAAATATAACTATTTTTTATGTGATCTATTTTTTATGTGACATTTTAAATCATTTCACATATTCCTTAAGAAAATCTAATGATTTTATATTTAGTTCTTAGAAGGTTTACAGTCTTTTTCTTGAAAGCGGATGTCAACTTTAGCAGCAAGGAGTATGAACAAAGTAATATTTAGTATTCAAAAACAATTGGTATTTTCTCATCTACCATTTGAAGCAATATCCAATTAGAATAGCCATTTTAACGCATACTCGGTGGGTTACTGGTGTCTCATTAAATTATTCCATTATTCAGCCATCCATTCGGCCACTATCGCTCTCCTCAGCTGCCGCGGTTTTTCTTGATTGGTTTTTCACTTTCCTTTTCTTTTCTATTTTCTTGTCAGCAATGTTTTGCTTTTCTATCAAAGTTTCTGTTTTCAATACTTCCGTGTTTAGGGATCCAGACAATGGGCGTCAATATTAAGCATTCGAATCATGCCGGCTTTTACCAGCTTTTCTTTTGAAGCGAATGAAGTTTTTGTCAAAGACAAGCATATATATTTTGTAATATTCTGTAGCAGACGTGCGGATTGTAGAATTTGTTGAATTAATGCAAGTGTGTCGCTTCATCTTTATCTCAAATTAATGTCTTACACCTTAGACGACCCTCAGACGCGAAAAGCTGGCAACTAGAATGTCTATTTTGTGAGGTTCAACTTAAAATAAGCTTTCAAGATTAGTTTTTTAGTTTTCAAGATCAGAACATTAGTTTTTATTCTAAAGTAAATAACTTAAGGGGAAGATATATTTCGAATATTTATTTCATGATTTGAAACTTTCATTTGATGCTAAAAATAAATTATTTTCCGCCAACGTAAATAACGTAATGATTACTTTCTCTAGGCATTAAAATCATTCTTTAACCGATTTCAGTAATCTTTAACATAACTCACTTCAAACGGTAATCCGATATCAGGAAAGTTAGGGGGAAGAGTTTTACTTTTCAACAAGAAATGAAACTCTGTTCGCAATATTCATTCAGCTTTTCTGACAAAAAAGAACAAAAGGATATTTTTACACAATAATTTAATACACTTAAAAATAAAAGCAAACAAATAAAAACTCAAAATAAAAACTTTGCACAAAAGAAATTTCAAATCATTGGCCAAATATGAAAACAGTTTAATCAAAATTTAATCCAAAATATAATTTTTAAGCTACAGTTATTTGCATAAGCTATTTTTAATTTTTGAATTGTTTAGTTAATTGTATGAAATTTAATGAAACTAAATAGCAAACAATTGTAAAGAAAATACTGAACATGTTTTAATAAATTTTTTATACAGAAAAGTTAAAATAACTGTATTAATACTACGGAAAAGAAATTTTGGATTTCAATAAACTTAGTGTGATTAATTAGTTTGAAACGAATTCATTTCCTTGGTTTAAACAAAACGTTAAACGAAAGTTATTAACTTTCGTTTACAGATATTCAGGAAAGTATATTAATATTTTATTAAAATATTAATATACTTTCCTGAATATGTGCTCACCATAGATATATGATGTTGCGAACAAATCTTTCACTACTGTCTGAATAATTTTGTGAGAATAAAGTTGTTAGTTTGGAACGACATCGGAAACTTTTGAACTGGTCGTTCGAAAAAAAACAAATTATCAAAATTTTTATTGTTCACCGAGTAAGGCAGTAGTTCAATACGGAAGAATTTCGTGCAAAAAATCTAGAGATTAGTTTAAAAGTTGCGGTTTGGGATCGTAATGCGAATACCTTCTTCCTAGCACTGTGCTGAACAAACACCTCGTAGAAGGTACCAGCACGGATCAATTTAGTAGCCTGATGTAACGAACATAAACTGTGCAGTGGAGAAAATAAGAAAGATTTCACTAAGTTCGGGGTAATAAGATTCACAGTGAGGGGACACAATACGAAAGATGCAATTGCGTTTGGACTATTAAAAAATCAAATTTCTTGTTCATGGAAACCAGTGCTGAGGCCTTCTCTCTTCTAGGAAGTATTGACTGAGCCTTAACTATCATCGTGAATTAATTGTAGGAGAGAGGTTCTAAAGGAGAAAGAAATTAAACATTACTATCTAGCTAAGTTAGACATTGTCCCTACACGGAGAAAAAAAGTCTAGTCAAGCTGAATTCTGCATAATAATGATATTTCTAGTAAAAATAATGGTTAATTAAACCAAAAGTTATTAAAAACAATCATTTGTTTGCTTTTCCGTTAATCTGATAACGTTTTACTGGAAAGTCTGGTTTTCAAAACTATAGTTCTTATTGCCACACATTTAGAAAAAAAAATACAAAACTGAAAAATAAATTTAACCGAATAAATGGTTTTTGTGCTATGCTCTAAGATATCATGATACCATTTTTATCATATATTATAAACTATATTTTAATGTTAATTTTACCAAAATCATTACCAACGTTATTCGGATTTGATAAATTAGACCTTAAAATTTTTTACTCGGTGTGTGTATAAATTTACTTTGCATCGAAGGATGCCAAAATCAAGTCGATGGGATTTATAGTTCTGAGGTTATGAGGGATTTAGTAAAACTGAAATATTAGGTTTTACATGCATTGTTACCAATAATCAACCTATTTTAGATTTATATTTTAGAACTCAACTAAATTAAATGCAGTCCAGGATATCTTCAATAGTATTCCACTTTCTAAAATTAATGTTGTTCTTTTGAATTACTACTGCGAATATAAAAATACCCTGAATTGTGATTTTTAATGCTGGGAAATTCATAAGAAACTTTTTCTTTTCAATACTTTTCTTAATCACTTTAATTATCTCCTTTTTATCATTTTTCTTTTTAATCATAGATGGAAATAATTTTTTTTTACCTCTGCCTAACATTTTTTACAACAATATGAAAAAAATTATACGTTAAATCTCAAATGTGTTTTTACATTTATTTAAAATTAAATTATTTGAATTTCCCAAATTATATAATTCCATTAAATAATACTCTTAAGGAACCTGAGAAATTAATCTTGCTTCTTAATCATGACGTTATCATTACTTTTTGTTGAAATTTAACTATTAAAAAAGAAGTTATTATCTGAATTGGTAACTTTTACAATAAAAGGAATGATTTTCAGTTTACTAGAAATAAAATAACTGCGTAAATCTCTAATTTTTCGAAAAACATTTCTATAAATACTTCTTTTAGTTAAATTAATAGAATTTATAGTCTTATTTATTCATCTAAAAAACAAGTAAACTTGCTCTACCTATTTTTTTTTTTTTTTTTTTTTATTAANTTTTTTTTTTTTTTTTGAAAATAAACAAACTATTGTTTAACTAATGTAATTATATTCTGTACAAAATCAATACATTAAATGAAAATTAAATATACAAAAAATAATAACAAACAATTGTAAGCTATCTGGAAGAGAAAATTTTTAAGTTCTCTTTTAAGCTATCTATCTATTTAGTTATGTATCTTTTAAAAAATCTTATTAGGAGAAATATCTGGTAACCAACAATTAAAATTAGATCCTAACTTTACGCAAATACTTCGAAATT